ATTCTAAGACCTATATATAGAGCTCTATTTTCCTTCTCCACATACACCCTTTCTTTCACATTTGAACTTTTCTTTTATTCAACATTTTATTATACTCTTTCTTCTTTTATCTTCTTTATATTGTAAATAATGGGGTGGTTTTTAATATTTTGATCATAGGTGAAAAACCTAATTAGGACTTTTACCAAAGTGTTGGTAGAACCCTAATTTTATTTATCGATAATCCATTTACTCAAATAACTATTTTAAACATTTCTAAATAAGAATAATAATAATAAAGGTTTAAAGCAAAAAGAAATAAATTTATGAATGTATGTATATATATAATAAGAGATTAATTATTTTGAGTTAATTTTTTATGATGGAATTTCATTCGGGAATGCGGAGAGTCGCATTTTTGAATCAGCTTTCCTAAGTGAGTAATTTAGTTAGGATTTTTACAAAATGTCAAGATAAATCCTAATTTTTTATATTCTAATACTTTGTTAATTCAAATAATTATCTTAATGAAAATAAAAGTAAGGGAATTATTCTAAACTAACTAATTAAAAATTAATATAGTAGTCAACAATTAATTAAGTAATTACTCTAAATATGATATTTTCGAAGTTAATTTATTAACTAAATGAAAATTTAACTTAATGGTTGAAGTCAATTATTTTGAACCAATCTCCAAAGATGAAATCTCTCTCTAGGCTTTGAAAAGTTGCATCTTTGAATTGAATTTCATAAGTGAGAAATTAAATTGGGATTTTCACCAAAGCGTTGAGAAAATCCTAATTTTATATTTCCAAAATCCATTGGTTCAAATAGATATTTTAAAATCTAATAAAAATAAGAAGAAGTATTCAATTAAAGCAAAACGTCAATTATATAATTGAAAAGTTCTAAATCAAATATTACATTTACAAATGCATTTATTTCTGCATCATCCACAATTTTGCATCGCATCCTATTTAATTATTTTGCGAATGGATATACCAAAACTCCGATGATGGGATTTTCTTGAGAAGCTTGTAGAGACGAGTTTTCTCTATAATCTCCCTAGGTGACGAAAACATCTAGACTTTACCAAAGCGTGGTCTATAAATAATTTTTTGATGTAAGATTTTTTTCCATTATTTAAAATTGAAAAATCATATCATCATTTCATGGTTGCATCATGTGCATTTATAAGATATTCGGTTTGCAAGTGACAATCTCCAATGATGGGATCTGCTTTGGGGGCTTGTAGAGATAAGCTTCCTCGAAGAATTTTCTAAGTGAGAGGAAATTCTTAGACTTCACCGAAGAATTGGAATGGTCTTAGAAAATTCCTTCGAGATGAAGATTTCATTCACACACCAATAAAAATAATAAAAAAATTAGAGAAAAAAGAAGGATTAGGGAAATTAAGATATATAAAATCAAGAATAAAATGATGAATAATGATTAAGGAAATATAAGAATAAAATTAAAAGTTCAGGTTAAAACAAGATAACGTATGATTTAATGGTATAGTTCGTAGGATGGGCATCATGGGGGTGCTAATTCTTGATATATCCTTTAGGTTTTAAGTAATTTATATGTATTTTTATGCTTTCTGAGTAATAGTTTAATTTATGTTATAGCATTTGCATTTAAGCAATTTTAGTTTAATTTCTTGTTAAAACGCCTAATTTCAACCTCCACTTATTTAGTCTTTTATTGTTGAAGGTGTGCACAGACATGGAGCTTAAATGGCAATGGATGATGAAAGTTGGCTTAAAGCGATTTTTGAATATCCGGCGGTGTTTCGAGTGCAAGTTGAGCTACAAAAGTTTGTTCGATGTGATTCTCAGACTGTTGGAAAGCTAAGAGGAGGAGCTAAATATTCGTGTTCATCACTCCACCCAATTCTAATCAGATCATGGTCGAAATTATAACAGAAAAAGCAAAACTGCAACAAACTGAACACAGCAAGTTTAGCGTTGCAACCTTAAATCCTTCTACGCTAAGGCCCTAATTCTAGCTAGCATTTTAAGTCTTCAAGTCAAAGAGGTTGGCACCGCACTGCCACATACATAGTAGCACAAGGTCAAGTCTAGACATATTGGATTAAAATATAACTATGTTCGACAATTAACTTCAGAATGAGTGATCACTGTAACTTTTATAAGGTTTGGTGAAAACTTGGTAAATCTTTTAACAAAAAGTCGTGTTAAAGATCTTGTAAATATAACCCCAAAGGAGATAGAGCTCAAGCTCGTAAAATTAAAATTAAAAGTCACCTATGGTGGAAACTTGACTCAACACTTGGTATAACGTCAAGTCTTGAGTTCAATGAGACAAAATACATCATCTATATGTGGCTACCAGTATTATAATATAATATATTATATTCCATCCCAAGTAAAGTTGATAGGTACCTATAATAGTAAAGAAATGATAAGTTATAAACTCTTAATTGACCTATAACATAAATTTATTAGAATGCATTAGTTACAGGGGCATTCTTGATGGGATCTACTAATACGAGTGTGACGTGTGGCCGTTTCTAAGAGCTCACGAGCTTAACTCTAATAGCACTTATGAAAAACAGATGCCAACACATGGTCATAATGTGTTGTCAAATACTGTGCATTCACTGGTATTGAAGCCATTGTGTGAGATGTGTTCGATTGACCAAATAAAATAGTTGGTTCAAAACATAATCTACCATACAAATTCGATTAACTTTAACTCGTTTTCACTAAGTGAAGGTTCAATCGGAAAATACTTCCATTTACGCAATCGATTGCCAATATTATTGAAAGTTTGAATTATTTTGAAAATAATGAAAGATTATTGGATATTTTCAACAATAATGAACGTGGGACACAATCCCACATTGGAAAAAGAAAAGCAAAAAATAGTTATTTAAATAAAAAGAGGTATAAGCCCATTATTGTTGGAATTTGATACACAAGGGACCATGGTTAAGCATGGTTGGGCTTGAAATTAATTAAAATTGATATTTAATTATTTATAATGACACTTGGCATTTCACACTTGCAGACAAACAAAAATAATTTTTTGAATTTCGTCAAAGAAATATATTTTTTGAATTTTGTCAACAGATATAAATTGTTGGAGACAGACAGTTCAGTTAAGTTTGTTTGGAAATAATTATGTCTGTCCAAAAGATGCTACTATTAAAAATAGACAGAAACAAATTCCATCTAAAACAAGATACAATTGTATTTTGTCAATAGATAAAAATTATTAATGATAGACAGTTCAGTTAAGTTTGTTTAGAAATAATTATATTTGTCCAAAAGCCATAATTACTAAAAATAGATAAAATTAAATTCTGTCTGAAAAAAGATATAATTGTATCTATGGTAACTAATAAAAACAGATAAAAACTTATTTTTTAATTTTTTCAATAGATAAAAACTGTAGACGATAAATAGTTCAATTAAGCTTGTCTTGAAAATATTGTGTCTAACCAAAAGATGTCATAACTATTAAAAATATTAAGAAACAGATTCTATTTGAAACAAGACACCATTGTGTTGGGTAGACTTCCAACAAACATAACTACTGAAAATAGATAGAAACTAATTCTGTCTGAAATTGTGTCTATAGGAAAAACTATCTCCATAGCCTATAAATAAGACCAACCCTTGAAAGAAAAAAACAAAAGAACTTTCCCTCCTTTCTTTCCAAATATTGTTTAGACTTTTTTCTACAGAAAATCTTATAAAAGACTAGATAATCTTGCCGTTCATCAATGAATAGTCAATAGATTGATTTTGTCAGTGTAGAACAGAGGCAATAACTAGACTTTGTTATATCCTCGAGGTTTATTACATGCAACTCTTTCACACACAATCAATAAAAATGAATAAAATTTTAAAGATAGTAACATTGACATACGCCTTGAAGCCATTTATATGCTTCCCAATTCGGTGAACTAACATTGTATTGGGTATATAACACAACATCACCCTGCCATCCATTGTGCAATTAGTCCAAAATAATAATAGTAATTTTTGAAAAAAATAAAACTAATCACACTTGTCTTTATTGTGTTCTGAAACAGTATTAAGATGTCTAGAGGTAAACTTGTGAAATTGAAATTGAAGCTTTTTTTTTCCTTTGGAATAATTCAATTTTTGGCCAAAAATTATATCCAGAATAGAGATGGAATTTTATATTTAGAAAAACCAAAAAAAATAAAAAGGAGAAGATGTCTTAATAATTTATAGTTCTAGCTAGTTCTTAACATGGTTGAATACTTGAATTTTTTTCCCAATTGTTCAAAGCTAGTGGTAGTTGAAAGTGTTTACAGTTGGAAATTAAGAAGTTTATGGGATCTTAGAATTATGTATAAACGATCCAACTCCACAACAGAATCAAGCAGAAACAAACAACTAGGAAATTTAGGAGCTTTTAGTTCATCTCATAAAATATTTATGGGAATGCATTTGTGAAGATAGTAATCTTCAATTTCACTATAAACATCCGACCTTTAGAATTTCGGTTGGGACATATTGTTCCTTTTTTAACGTTTCCATGACTAATTTTCGGAAAATTGCCAGTCTATATTACTCATTGGGTCAAAAGAAGGGAAATAGTTGAAACCAACAAGCAAGTGAAACTTTAAGTCATTCTAATCTCTCGTGCTAATTCTATTTATTTCCTTTTATTTCTTTTTCCATGTTATCAAATAATATAGAAGTAAATGATAGAATGTAATGGGGCATTAAGTGAGGGTTGCACGCCATGAAAGGTTAAGAAGGCAATTCAACAAGAAATGACCATTCTGTATTGGTCTTTGATTAATTCATATCATTCTCCTTCCAGGAGGAAATCCTGCATTCGACATGAACCTAATTTAATGAGCCACACGCACAAATGAATTTTATTAAAGATTTGTTGGTTGATGAATTATATAAAAGGGGTAAAATCATAAGGGTTTTGGAATTATTCGATACCAAGACAAACTCTATCCATTTTGTTCTGCTTAACAAAAGTATATTGAAGGTGCGGCTATCATGGACGAGCACAAAACTGAAGCTGTCGATCGCATCTCTGATCTACCTGAGCCAATTCTTCATCATATACTATCTATGGTTGAAGCAAATGATGCAGCTCGAACTAGCGTCTTATCCAAGGCCTGGAAAAGCACATATGATTCATCTCCAGTGGTGGTTTTAGATGAACTCTTCATTAAAGAATTTGTCAAATCATATGAGCTCAGCAGTGAAGAAAGGCAGAAGTACCTGAGTAATTTAGAGCAGTTCAGGACTCGTTATAGCGTGCATATACGAGGGGTTGGGGATGATGAGGAGAAAGGCCAATTACTAGCGAGGATGATTATCAGAGAGAAGTTCATGTTGTTATCAAACAATTCGATTAAGAGAATAAATCAGCAGAAGGAGTTGCTCAGCATTAAAAAATTCAGATTTAGGATTTTCCACCTGGATGATGAGTTTGCCTCTGTCATTGACAATTGGGTAGGATTGGTAACAGATAGAAACATTGAAGAGCTAGATATAGATATCGGTTGCACATTCTTACCAGTATGTGATTATCCAAAACCAACATACCTTTTGCCCCAAGCAATACTTGCTGCAAAATCACTAACTGTCTTGAAGCTAGGCGGATGCAGATTAGATCTCCCCTTTACAGCAGGTAGCACAAGGTTTCCTTCTCTCCAACAGCTACATCTATGCTCAGTTCATCTAGATGAGCAGATACTAGACAACCTTATCTCCACCTTCCCTTGTGTTCAAATCTTTGCTCTTGACAATTTTTGGAGCTTATCTATTTTCGCATTTCTGGACTTGGAAAACTTAAGATGGTTGAGTTGTCATCAATGCATTGGAGACTCAAAGAGGTTAACATTGAAGCAGCAAGCCTTGAAACTTTGGACTTTTGCGATGAGTTAAGAAGTTCCATATGCAAGGTCAATTTGGATGCATGCCAAAATCTGAAAAAGTTACGTTTAGGACACGCTAATTTGACTGACCAATTATTACAAGAGCTTATCTCTAAATTATACCTACTTGAGACTTTGGATATAAGCTATTGCAATAGGTTGGAAAGAGTTAAGATTTTGAGTCATAAGCTGAAAAGGCTAAGCATATACCATTGCAAGAGAATTGCGGATGTGAAGATTGACTCTCCAAATCTGCGTTCTTTCTCATTTAATGGTACTAAAGAAACAACACCCTCCATCTCTCTAATTAATGATGTCATTTCTCAATTGCGAGTTCGTGTATATTTCGACTTACATTATGGCAAAAATTTTGGAGCCGAATGGATCCTTAGTTTTAGACGGTTCCTAGCAAACTTTGGGCGGATAGAAAACTTATACTTATGCCTCCCTCTCCATAAGGTAACTTTTTGGATTCACAAAGTTTCTGCTTTTTTAAATTATTCTCAAATCCATCATCTACCTAACATGGATATTATCCATTGCAAAGCATTCTTTCCTTCAACAAGAGCTGCCAGACGTTTCAGTTCCCCACCAAGTGAGGTCACCTCTCTGACGCTGTCAATTTGTGCAACTCCAAGGTCACTCTATTATGCAGCCCTTGTCAATGGCCTGTTTTGGAGTTGTCGCCCCAAGACTTTGAAAATCTGGCGTGTAGGGGACTGGCACTTTGGTCTCATTAAGGTATGGCCATTGATTAAGTCTTTTGAGTTTTCATTTTTCAACTCTTGTTTCAAACAGTGGTGGAACAATCAAAGAGACAAGATGGAGCTCATACTTGTGCTAGCTTTACTTGTTCATCAGTATGCTCATCGATTTGCTTTAATGCAGTTCCTGTTGACAAGCTGAAAAACAGAGAGATGTAAATGCTGCAACGCTAATGCATCAAAAGGTGGAGGATGAAGTGAAGGACGTTAAGATTAGGGTTAAAAACGAAATTGAATATGAGATGCTCATGGAATGACTTTTTACAGGCAATGCCCACAAACATTATGGTAAAAGTGTATATTTTGATTTCAATGGCAATAATCATCCACTATGTTAAGATTTCAACTTAAATATCTAATTTCTATAATGTTACAATTTTGATATTAAATATAAACTTGTGTAAAAGCTTCATCATAATTTTACTTGAATTGACTATTTTATGATTAAAACTAATTCTTTAATAATAAACTCAAAGAAATCTATGATCAAGTTGTTAAATCATCACGTCTTTTTCACGTTACAGCCACAGCGTGTCAACTTCTCCATTTCATGACTTTCAGAACCATAACTCTGGCTTACTAAACATTAAAGTTTATGACTCTCATGTCTCAAACTTCTCTGCACACTTGTATAAGGTTTTTAGCTGTGAAATGTTAACTTACTTCGCTAGAAATGACGGAATGCAACCTCTTGGAGAGTATTGGATTTGCGCAGACCACCAAAACAATTTGCAAAAGAAAAAGGAAAAAAAAAAACTCTGCAATTGCAAATTTAATAATTTTATAATTACAATTTCGTTTAATGTTAAAAAAGTTTATTACACCCCAATTATATATACAAATGATCTTATTTAAGAGACTTCTATATGTACAGCGTAGTCTCAAATCTTTTATTACAACCCAACTAGGTATTAAACACAAATAAAAGCAGAAATCCTATAATCACTTTGGCTGCTAGCACCTTTCAAATTTAGCATTAACATATAGAATCTTAGGCTCCAAAACTATGTCATCAATCAGGCTGCATAACCATCACTTTGTTCTTCGCTTGTGTTCTTGCCCTTTTGAACATAGTCATCCAATGTGTAGCCCTTGTAAGTAACCAGCCTATGCAGCTGAACCAAAAAGGAATTATATCAAGTATTGCTGGTCAATATCCTCATGAAGGTGATATCACCAAATCCAAATAAAACTGAGTAAATCATACATACAGATTCAAACTCCCAGCCTCCACCAAAAATAAACCCTACAGGCTTAGCTCCTCCAAATTTAAACTTCATAATTTCTTTGTATTCCACCTTGGAGTTTCTTGCATAGGGTGCCCCACATCCAGGAATCATTTGCGCCCAAATCTTTTGTGCACAGCTTTTGACACTGACAAACAACCAGGAATGTAACGTAACATTAATTACTTCGTTGAAATAAATGAATAAAGGAACAATAAGGAAAAAGAAACCCAGAGAGAAAGCGCAAGTAATTGAATGGAAACACTATATAGTAAACCGTGCCATCAAAGTGAAGTGGACTCTTGCTAGAGTTGGTTTTTCTGCTAGTGCTTGGAGAAGTTGGAACATGGCCCAAGCTCATGTCAATAACATTATCCCCTTGGCACCTTTTGCATTTTGCCTAAAACAATATTTTCAAGTAAGACACATGATTTCAGGAAGAAATTAAAATGTAGAAATCATAATAAAAGAGAGGTGAGCAGGGAAAAAGGATTGATTACCTCGATGCGATAAGTATTTTTGGGATTATTGAATCCACCATGAAGCTGAAGATTTGTGCACCCTTGCAGTGCAGCCTTTATCAGAAGCTTGTAATCCATGTTGCCGTCAACAATGAGGATACCTTGGGGTATTTATATTATTGTTCATCAAATATTTACTTGACAAACAAGAAATCTTGGACCTTGAGATCATCTAAATGGAGCTGAGCTGAGCTCATACCTGTTACAATTATCAAAAGTAACTTACTACTTTGGGAGAAACATTTTGAAATCTTGCATTAATGTCACTTAGAATTGCTTTATTCATTTGTTCATTGAATACATGATATGAGCTCATATTATGGTTTAGTTCACGTTTTCCTTTGATTTTTTTCTCTTTTACTAAGTTTACCAAAACACTTTTTATCTTTAGTCAAGATGGTAACAAAAATGTATTATT